GGCCCTAGGAATTCGGTGGTTGGAAAAAAAATCACCTTATCGTAAAATTGCCTAGTTCCCCCTAGAAGTGTCTCTTCTGGTGAGTTGGACACTTAACACAGCTCCCTGCCGATTTTTTCTTATTTCCGCAATTTCCTACGACTACTAAACGGTATATCTTCAGACAGCCACATACGCATCAATAGTCATAGACCATAGATAAAACAAAACATTGCAAACCTTTTTTTTGGTATCGGTTACCATCCTGTTGAGTCCGCCTTTCAGGTCTTCCATTGTTTCGGAATTGTTGGTCCACCTTTCACAAGTACGATGTCCCGTCGTACTGGCCCTCTGATAATTGCACTTGACTGCCACCTAATCAATGCCAATAGAAGCTCGAGTTCAGAAGAATCAATGGAAGGGGGAGAAAAGCTCGATTGTACAACGAATCAAAGGAGACGAAAACAGGCAAACAGCGAAGTGTCCTTAAATTAAGTCACTCTTTGGTGGCTAGCTAGCTTAGGCTAAAAATCGCTCTTACTGAGCTTTGTTCGTCTCCCGGTCCGTCTGATCGACGCCCTGACACATCGATCAAGCGGCGCGCACGTTCACTCAAACTGTATATGTGTTTCGTCGGCAAGTGAACTTGAACTAACAAACTCTATTGATAAAGTCGCCTGTCTGCCCTATTAGAGTGACGCTGACGATGGTGATTTAACAGTACTGGCCGTAGCTGTAGCAGCAATAGTTATTTGAAATGACGCCTTCTCTCAAGGAGTCCTGCTGCTTACCGCAAGCTAGCCCGTAGGAGCGAAAGGGCACCCGATCGCGCGAGTCGACGCACAAGGAGAGGGTGTTTTGTTCCCCCCTCCCCCCTCCTTCCGCCTAAACTCCGGTCGCGCCCGATGCGATGATTAGTGTACAATGATGAGATAACTACGGAACAAACAGCACAGTACAAACACCTGTCCTTACACAAACAGCTTACTTTAACGCTTAAGTTCAGCCAAGAAAATGGGCACGAAGTCTATCGCACGGCTTGTCAGAGAAATTCTCGCGCGGGACTGCTTATTCATAGGCCAATGACCTAGGCGGACTTGCGGGTAGGCGTCCAGTGATATCGCTAAAATACTGCCGACGAATAGGCAAAGAACAGGCTTAGAAAAAAACCGCCGAATTCATTGAGCTACTTAGCTGAGTTAAATTTAATTCGGCATTTGACGATAATGTTGCTGATGTCGCTAATAAATAATAATGATCGGTATGACGATGTAAAATTTTCGGCCGCCTTTTTTACATGCTGTGTTACTTGGTCAATGGCGTCAGCAACGGCAAGTCAATGCTATGTTGGCTGGATGCTAGGGCTTGTCTCATAAACTACCATATCTCATGTCTCAAACTTTTCCAAATGATGGTAAAGACGGGAAGGTAATTCGGATGACTGATCTGGAAAAAGCTGGGTTGCCCCAGCGTTCAATTTTGTTTTCAGCTGTAATGCTATATATAATTTATTTTCATTAATAACAGCTGCATGCATTCTGTAGTCCAGTAAGGGGCTTTATTTTCAAGTAGAAGTGTCACATGATTTCCCGGGTTCGCTTTCCTAGCTATGGAAAAATTACTATTAAATGTTCGTAAGATAAATATTAACTCATCAAAAAGATGCTTACAGTGCTTAAGCAATTATCCATGAAGTGAAGTTACTTCGTGATCAAGCAAAGCTGGAAAACTTTTTCTACTTTACTGTCTCCTCACTCATAATGGTAACTTGTTTATTGAACAATTAACTTTCATAATGAACAACGATACGTTATGTGAACAATTCTAATGGCGTCAATGTAAAGGTAAGAGAGCGCAGTGATTTATTTAATGAAGGAAAGACGAAACGTTGTCTGACACGTACATGTTTGAAAGGCCCGCTCACGTTCCTCCCTTGACCTTCTCTATCTCGTAGGTATCTACGTATGATGTATCTAGGGTCGCCAAATATTTGACATTGAACACACGACAGATTACTAAGCCCGCAAGGGAAAATAGAATCATAGACGAAATCTGTTCTTACTATTTATAACGCAGCTCCTCTAGTTTTGACTAGACCGCCAACCTTCGTGAGACAGTGACACATCATTCGAATATAGGCTCCCTCCAGGCTTTAATAGTTTTGCCTTATCAGAATATCAGGCTAGCCTTCTTTCGTCCATTATGCAGGATATCTAAAGAATCTGAACGAACTAGAATAAAACGGACATTTGCTGTTTCACTGGTAAAACATCCGACTGCTATAGCCCAATTTACGAGGGCATCAAATTTGGATAATTGTCGGCAAATGCATGTGAATTAGGCATGTCGACTGTGCCTTTTTTTGTCACATCGACGGACCGCGTTAACATAGCTATATTACTAAAAATGTTAGCAACACTATTTAAAGGACGCTAGAAGGTCGGCTTTTTTTCTACAAATGGCGGATAAAATGTGAGGGGCGAGACAAAATAAGAAGTTTCAAAAATTTCACTACCCAGGAATTTAAGGAGTTGAAAATTGGTGTAGGCACACTTCGTTTCTTGCTAGAAACCAGCCGTTTGAAGCTATGCCTAACGCTGACTTAAGCTGCATGCGTAAAACTTGATGAGATTGTCCTATTAATAATAAAAATTCATAGTTGAGTAAAAAATGTTTGGCTGAAACTGTTGCTCATATACAGAACTGTGTATTGCACCAAAGCGTTTTTTACGATCACAACTACGATTTTTCAGGTCTCAAAAAAAATCACAGATAGTTAGTTTCATCGTCACTGCTGATAATTATGCTATTACTATTTTTTCGGTCAAACTTTTCCAACGGTTTCAAAGTTGCTTCTACTTGAAAGTGAAGATCTCTCCTGGTAGTTCAAAACATGTAATATTTGCTAAAAAGAAAAACATACGTAACGGGCGATATGATTGGCTACAAAATATCCTGAAGTTATCGAGCGGGATTCGGTGTGACGATCTTATCTATCAGACGATTGGATATTGTCGATATATAGCCATAATATCGCAAGGTTTACGATCTCACTATAATTCCGAGGCATATACGCATATTTATTCATTAGTTTCCTATAATAAAAATGGTGTTATTAGAAAATTTCGTAGAGAAGTTGTGTACGAGTACTACGTAGTTACCCGTCTCGACTGTGTCGTCTTTCACGCCGCACAGTGAAGCCTTGCTAAGCAAAAAGGTCCGCGGTAATTTTCTTTTTGTACATCATAACGCAACGAGGACGGAGAATGTAAATGTTGCTAAATAAAGATCTTATATGAATGTAATTATATGGATCAAGAGAAGTCTAATATTTTATATTGACATTTTGTTCCATAATAAGCAGTTTCACATCGAGCGAATGAGAATACATTTACATAGCGAACTTCCTTCATAGATAAAGTTAGAAGGCGTACGCCAGTGTCTATCTACAAAGAAGCTTTATGATGGTAATATATTCAGTGTTCTCACTAGGTCCAGCTAACAATGTCGTTCAATATATTAAATATATTTAGTTCGTTTTATACGAGGTGCGGATCGTAGCCTGAGTTGAGACAAGAGGATTCTCCGCAAAAGCGTAAATATTTACGCGTGTATTGCACTTTTTCCCAAAATGTGTATCGTACATTATTCAGTAGACAATTGTCAGCTAAATTAAATAGACATATTGGCTTCATCAAAAACTAACTACATACTAAGGCGTTTTATTCGCAACTGTGACTATGTTAGTCGTCTTTAGATGCTCTCCCTGCTTTGGCCACTGTCGTCAATGGAACTTTTCGAGACGTAGCTGCTGTCAAGACGGTTTTTACCTTTTTGAGTTGTATGCGTAGTCGGACGGCGTAGACCGAACTGAATCTTTTCCAGGCTCATTCCGTCACAATGATCGTCTGTGCCGGGTAGTAGTCGTAGTAGTAGTAGTAGTAGTAGTAGGTTGCTTTTAACCCGACTACTTTGACGGTGTTAGTCCGCTCTGAGATTACGGTAAGGGTTCCCACGTTGAGAATGAAATATATTTTGCATAATAATCTCCTGCTGACCAAAGTTAGCGAAGTTCGTTTTCAGGATTGTTGTTGACGGCTACGGCCCGGAGCCACCGCAAGCTCGCATCTTTGAACTGATAATTGATCACATACCAGATATAACTATAGCAGGCTCCTGGTGGTTCGATATCTTCATATATGAAGGGGGCTCGATAGGGACCGACGTTGGGCTTGGCAGATTCTTATAGGAAGATCCTTGCTCAGTTGCTCACATTATCAAGGTCGGGTCCTTTAACCTGCGGTGCAACACTGCATGTGATAATGCATCACTGATTTCGGCCACCTTAACACCTTGAGTTTTTCAACCAGTTTGACATTGTACAATCGCCACCGCTGAGGCTCCTGCCCCATTTTATGGTAAACGTCATTATTATCGGTCAACGTCCTCGTTGTCACCGCTCGATGAAAACAGGTTACGGTAATCCGCAAGAAACTTCTTGAAAGGAAGTAACAGATGAGTCGTGCTATCCGCGTCATCATCTTCGCAAAGTTAGCCCGCAGAACCTGGTTTTCGTTTCGTTCAATCAGAAGTCGTGTTCGTTCGAACAATGCAGAAATGCTATTATGGCTAAACTACCAGCTGAATAATGCCCGCTAAGCTAAACGGGAATTCTATGCAGCGGTTATGTGGCGCCAATGCCGGTCTGGCCTCTCGCTAAACGATGATCTCGGTTTGAGACGGACCATGGTGCGAGCCTTGTACCTTCACCTATTACAATTGTATAATTTGTCTTTGCAGTTTATGGTAACGATAAATGATCTTAGCATAGAATTATGTTCGTGAGCACCATGTGCTTATAAAGCACCTTAAATTGCTATGTGTTGATCCGTATCAATTGATAGACGTCAGTCGATGGTATCAGTCATCATAGTCAATTGGGTTTTGTGTGCGTGTGTGTGTGTGGGGGGGGGGGGGGGGGGGTACAACAAGAGTGGAACAAGAAAGGATCCACTTTTAATTTAGAATAAAACATTTTAAACCTTTTGGCAGGTGACAGACTGAAATGACTCCGTGGTGTAAACGGTGCCTACTCGTTTGTTGGAGCTATCGGTAGACGCCACAGCGGATTATAGCGAATTTTTGCTAATTGACCTTTCAGGTGTGTTATGATTTTCGGTAGACGTGGTTATCCATAGAGAAAAGACACAACCCTTATTTGGATGTTTCCCTTGTGGCTGTGACGCCCTCTTATTCATTTATTGCCTTTTTTCATACGACACTTGTAGCGATACAAAAAGTACACAGATCGTTTCCTTTCCTTTTTATGTATATATATTTCGTGCAGCGACACATTTCTGTTTGTCTGTGTGTTTAAATCGATGTTCATTCTTTACTTTTCTATAAATTAAATACGTCACTTACACACTGCAATTGCTGGCAAACTCACACATCATAAACTATATAATAATTATTTTATTGTAGAATACATTAATTAGTAGAAATAATAATAGAAACACAATACAATTAATAAATGAAGGAAAATAAGTTTATGTAGTTGCCACTTGTTCTTCACTTGGGCGGTGTTATCTTTTCCCTCAACAGTAAAATTTACGCAATCGGTATCGCTATGGCAGTCAGCTTGGCTAAGGCGTTACATAATTCGACGCAGGGTTTGACTCTGAATACTTTATGCAGCAGTCCTACGTCGGCTATAATAACAATTTGTGCCTAAAATCATTACACCTTTATCTGCTATTAATCCTCTTCGCTGGAGACATTTTGGAAGGCTTTATAAATAACTTAAATGGGCTTGTAGATAATACAGTATCTGTTATGTACATAGTAACAGCTGTGTGTGCAGTAAGTATGCATTTGAACTGTACCAACACATACTATTCACCTACTTTGAGGATGTTCTGAACAAAAATAATAATCTAATAGATTTTTTACTGCTGTTTCGTAAAAGTATTGACGTCCTGAATAGAGGCTATTGCTTGTCGGTACACGATTGCTTGGATTATACGATGAATTTCAGCCACAAAACTACGGGATTCTATAAATTTCGTTATAAGTATTTGAGGAAAATTTCACGCGATTTGTTCATTTTTTTCCACAATATATCCTTGCGTTAGCCAATGTCAAGTCAGAATCTGAGTCGAACTGCCCGGCTCCTGAACGCGTTCTAAATCTGTCCGCCTTCAGGATCGCTGTACATGGTCCTGTAGCATGGGCTTGCGTTAAACGTGTATAGATAGGTAAATGCCTTTTCATCGCGTACGGTGGTTTCGCATGTCGGTTAAGGGTACAGAAACTCGAACTTGGGTTCCTGGAAATTTTTCACTATTTGGTATTGCGAGATGACCACAAGTAGACAATAGATATGAATTCCGTCGATCGTCCATAATAAGATCGCTGCCAGCACTGAGAACAGCTGTGAAACACCGCAACATCGATACATTTTGTTACTTCGGCAGTGAGCAGGTGACAAGAATATGAGTAAAGGACTCAGCAAACAAATACACGCCTCGGAGTACCAAATGGTACCTGCGTTTACCATAAATCGTACATATTATTTGCGTAATTTAGCCGTTTCTGAACGGTAGCTATTGTTTGGTTCAGATAAGAATTCAACAAACAAAGTTGAATGAAATGCGATTTAAGCGGATGCTAGTTTAGAGCAACCCGGCCTACAAACGAATAGCTCTTCCTATACTTGAAATTTGTATTCCTACATCTTAAAGCCCCTTGTGCATATGGATGTCTACTTACATTTCGATAGTACCTGACGATGTACCAAAGACCAACGCCGACCATCAATAATACCTCCATCGACATGGCGATCATCCAGGGAAAATAGAGACACCTAAAATAGCAATAGTTGTTGAATCTCAGTACTTTATACAATACTCGTTTGTGGCATGAAAAGATATTCCCGAGATAGGCCATCATTCTGTATGTACACTTGATTCGTTTTGCTAAAGTCGCAAATAACATACGATGGTCCTAGCGATGTGATTAGGGTTGGGATTACATTTCGGTTGTTCATTTCAACTACTATATGTACCTATATATATATATATATATATATATATATATATATATATATATATATATAGAGAGAGAGAGAGAGAGAGAGAGAGAGAGAGAGAAAGCTTCGATCAAATAACGCTGGCTATGACGGTCGTACAAAATTGAAACGGCGAACTTGCGACGCCAAGCGATACTTAAATAGATGTTCTCGTTAGTCTGTTCGACGGCTATTGACTACAGCCAGTCGGAAAGTTAGCGTCATGGTAACCTCGCCGAGTATTATCGCACTCGTTGTTGTATGAACATCTCATTGAGATAGTCAATTACCGATTATCCAGTTTGACGCCCTTGCACAGAAGTAAGGTAAAGAGTAAAAACAATAGGCAGAGCACGACGGTCAGGGAAGCAGCTGTCACAGTCCCTTTTTGGGAGTATTCGAAGTATGGCGAAAAGAACCAGTCGGTGCGCCCTCCTTGCATAGCGTAGATGGCATAGAAGATAAACAACACGTGCACGACCTATTTGGTAACAGAACAGATTCAATTAATCAACAACAGTGTTAAGCACACCTAAGTTCCAGAAGTAACCATAGTCTTCCTAATCCACACGTATCACGTCAATCACATTTACTTTAGATGATTTTCATTTGAAATCTAGGAATTCGAGAGTTAGAAGCTGAAGGACCCTCCCGATTAGAAACAAGATTTACTTTTGCTCTTATAGTTCTTGCTAGTCAATAGGAGTTCGTAAGGCCGTACTAGAAGAATATAATGTACACACAGATTTACCCGGGCAAATTCTCGCTTCTGTCTTTCACAGTACGGTTCGCCGTATGAAATGTATTGCTAGTAGAACATTTAAATGCCCGAGCCCAAGATATGGGTGGTTTATAACTGCTATGAGCCCAACTCATGTTGATGTACGGCCCATTTCTTGTTAAAATTGCGTAGATTCTATATTTATTTACTTACAATCCTTCGTTCACTTACTATTCGTTCTATTTGATACTTCAAAACTCGTTCTCCTAGTGAGTTATTCACAGGTCTGATATCGAGGTAATTTTAGTGAGTTTTTTTTGAGTTCTTTGGTTCTACAGAACTCCTTCTACAGTGCCTACCTTTTTCTATAGTCATCGCACTCAGCTCTCGGCAGCAATATTAAAACCTAACGACCGATTGATTATGAAAGGACAGCTTTTAGTGTTATTACAAAAGGATCTGTGGGTCATTTCAAAAGGTGAGATAGTTGGGTCGTCCCCTCGGCGATTTTGCCCCTTCGAATATTTAGCATTTTGTTTTTGTTAGCGTTCAACAGTATTTCTAGGTACAATTGGTGTGCTACCCAAGTTGTTCAAGGAGATTTAGTCGATACGCACTTGAATGTGTTTGTTTTTCTGCCATACTTACTGTCGTATAGATGGCGACATAATAACTACCGAACCTGACGTTAGTATAGTGGTACATCATCAGCGGATTCCAGCATCTGTCGAGGATGGGCATTATACCCTTTTTGCTTGTGTGGTTACGATTCTGTCAAGGGTGATAGCAGTGCACTCGAGAAGGGTCTAGCTGCCGTACTTCTCGATGTGGTAATATGTACTTCTTGGGTAAGTTGTCCAGGTAGTACAACGATATAAATAACAAATCGACACGGGGCGCTCTCGCTGAAAAAGCTCCTTAGCAATGGCGTCCGCAACAGTAACTTCAATAAGCACCACGGGATCCAAACGCACAGTTACCCAATCAGATACGGCAGCAGAAAAAGGTACACAAAATATACAGGGTGAACAGTATATCAGCACATTCTACACTATTTGCCTATCGAAAATTTAAAAATAGCCACCTAAAAAACGCTCATTTACATTTACATATTTAATATTAATTTATGATAATAATTTACACATTTTGTCAATAGTTGGAGCTTGCTTGATTTCCATCGTAGCTTTACCGCTATAGGAGACAAATTTTCGTCGACTCACGGCTTTATTTATGCACATTTGTCGTACACAGGAAGTTAAATTCACTCTTCCTCTACACTCACTCGCACATTACTTTGGTACAACCGTCACGCTTTGTTTTTTCTCTCAAATACTGCTCGGTCAACAAACATAGCAAAGTTCTGATATACCGTTAGATTCTAAGTGACTCTCACCGCCAGTATTTATTAATATCGCCCCCAAATCAGCTTACTTCCGTAGTCAACTATTTTCCCGTTTAGTTATTCTGAAAGTTTCTCTTGCACGCCTTTAAGTTTGCGTCTTCTGAAGTCTTCAAATCTTCCGGCTTTCGTATACACTCTCCCTGCAGCTTAATTATTGTCTGCGGTGACGGTGTACATGTATTACCGTGCTCAGTGTATTTTCGTGTAACAATGCTGGTCTGCTCCCTCCCGGGTGTGCCTTCGCCGTCGTCTGATCTTTCCCTAAACATGACACAGGACAACACACGCTTGCCTTCGTCGCCAGCGCTCCACAGTTACCTAACTATCAGTGTCGATGCTACGTTGTTCTATTGTCTGCACGAGAGGGAATATCCGCTAGCATCGGTTGCCGGTTAGAGCCTGAAATTAGTTGCCGCAAACGCTTTTGGGCTATTAGATTTTTTCGCAGTACTATTTTACTAGTTTCGTTCAACGGATTGGTGCTTGCTCATTCACTCATATGCTCGGAGCAGCTCCTGGCTGTTTCTGTCGAGGTCGTCGTCGTCGTCATCGTCGCAGTTTGTTGTGGGGCGAGTCGCTGCCGTCGTCCAGGCAACGAAATTTTGCCGGTTCGTTAACGTCAACCGCTGTTCAGCGCGCTACTGCCGAATAGTTCCTGTCTTATTGTCCGCTGGACAGAAGCGAACAGACAGACAAGAATTGTCGTACAATGCCAGCATCAGCGGTAGAGAGTGAGCCTGCTGTTATTTATGTAAGTCGACGCTGACGCTATTGCGGCTTCGCCGAAAAGCGAAAGCGCGCTTGGCTTGTGGGTAGCTCAGTTGGTTGGTCGGTAAATCGACGAAGAACGCCAAGCTGTTACATTGACTGGCGTCCGGAAAAACAGGCCCGCCGAAAGGTCTCATTAGTCTTAGGCTATACTACATGCTCTCTGTATTAGGTTGATTTGAATTAATTCGCTGGTAGCATACGCAAAACTGCATTGACAACTCATACCAAAGAATCAGAGGTACTAACGGCTATTCCGAGATAGGCGATACAGTAGCTGGACCTGAGACGGTGATCTAAGTTGAGCGTGGAATAATCAGGGTTCTGAATGGTGGCTCCGGAGCGGCGTACGGCGCCGACGGCACTTAAAAAAACATTACCGGAATACCTTGAAATTAATGGATAGAAGTTCGAAGACAGTTACGAGAAACGTCACTCACAAAATGGCGATGAGGTTTAGTGAATGATCTAATCTATTCAATGTTCTGACAAATGTTTCTCATAGATCTTAGCTATAAATATTTGTCGGTCAGTAGCAAATCTGTCACTGACGTTCATTGTAGGTTTGCGATCAGATACGGAATTTCGTCGAAAGTGCTAAATTTGATTTTGTAAACTGTGCGACGACATCGATCGCAGAACCAGTTTCTTCTGGTAAATAGCGGCCTGGAGGTCGGTGACCTGAGAGGGTTCATTGCTTTCTAGCAGAAAACATTGCATGATTGCTGATGCTCATGCCTGCGGTTTACTAGAATCTTTTGGGCTAATCAGTATCCGCAAGCGGAAACTTGCATCGAGTCAAATATCTCTTACACCGACTACCTTGTTCACATATGCGTAGTTTAAATCAATAACGTGCGTTTGCTACACGCGCCCCCCATCTGTTCTTAATGAACAAAAACTACTTAACTTTAGGTGAATAATACTACTGTCAACAAACGATCGCAGTCGCTCATTTGTTCCATGACTAGAACACGAGATTCAATTAGTTGAACTTGGATATTTCCGCTTTGAAAAAGTTTTCCAGATGCTGAAGCGATCATAAAATTAACCACGTTGTCCTAGAACTTGCTAACCGCCCACACTCTGGGGGCTTGTGTTGACACCCAACTAAAAGCCACAAAGAACAGGGGTAGCGAATTGACTCAATTCAGTTAAAAAAAAAAAAAAAGAAAAGAACTTAGCGTCCCGTCTGTGTGACAAAATAGCATGGAAATTACAATCACTTACCCTTAACACGTATCCGGATTTCAGTTTTGTTTTCGGTTCTTCATACGTGAAGACCTAATGATTATGATGAAGACACGTAGGTCGATAAATGCCGTGCGACTCTAATAAATTATTGAGTGTTGAATATTCGTTGACGAGAAGATTTAATAATAACTAATATTTTGTAGAGGGTATCTTCTGGACAGCGAGAAGGGTAAGATGTGCGATTATGGTACACTTGTCCACATGAGCAAAAAGTCAACAACTGGGCTTTTGGGGAAATCCTGTGACAGATATTCAGTGGAGAAGGAAGCCAAGCAAAATATTTTGATTCCTTCAGACAGTCGTGTTTATTACACCTTAGGATGACTCAAGCTAACGTGCGTGAATTCTGAATATTGCTTTGATTAGTATCACGGAGGGGAAAAACCATGCAATTGCGTTTGTTCGATTGGCCTGACTACGGGCTGTTTACGTAGCGGTAAACTTCTTAGTTTCATAGAATATACACACCGTTTCTAAACACTGAGTATTTTGCCGGTTAGTTGCTCTCATCATAAAATTCTATTAACGTCCCAAATGTTTACGGCTAAGCAATGATGTAAGATAAATTTAACACATTCAACATGACTCTTCACTAAGCACTAAAGCAGACGTGAATGCGTTTTTGTATCGGTTTGCTAACCACAGCCCGAAATAAGTGAAGTGCTCACTTCGCAGGGAACCATAGAGCAGGCCAATGGAATGGCCGAAACCACGCATGATCTCGTCTTTAGGCCTGCGCCAATTCAACCAGAGGCAAAACATTGCTCTGTCTATAGATAGCAAATGATTCAATCGCCAGTTTATTGACCCGCTAGGGAAAATTTGCCACGTTTACCAAAGGGTAATCAATAATCAAAATATATTGCTCTTAAGTAATGTTAGCTTCTGAACATCACGAATCAGTTCCTTCATCTAAATAGTTACACAATTTACACTGAAAAAGTATTTTGACTATGACAATCTTAAGAAAAGTTAGCCCATTTTATAAAATAAGTTGATGCTTTACAAAAATAACTGTTATTTGGGCAGATTTCTCGTACTCTTAAGCCACGTGGAATTACTTCGAATTTCTCGAGTATCAACTTAAATACTGTAAGCCATATGCGGGTATATTGGAGAGGCCAATCAGACAATTCAGATGAACAAATCTAACCAACTGCTAGCTCTTCGTGCATCGGCGTCTCGTAATAGATCTATGCGGCATGAAAAGATCGCCAGTAGGTGCATACTGAATCAGCGAACAAATTTGTATACACGCGCCAGATAATTTTGCTATAAACTAAAGTTCATGACTGATCATCAGCATATTTTTATATCATTAAATATAATCGCGTGCACGTAAAAAGGAACGTCATCGATGTTTTTAATTTAAAAACATGTATATCATAATCGTAGATAGTGGCAACAGTGAAGATTTTCATATTGAGGAATAAAATAGGACGCATCTAGTTGCTCTACGATATATTTTAGTGGAATCAAGGCTGCATTATTGCCCATGTTCTGCCCATCGGATAGCTGTAAAAATGCTTCTTGGCCGATCCTACTGAAAACGCTTCTTTGTACACGTAGTCGATCTACCAGTTTAGCAAGCTTACTTAATTTTCTTATAGTAAAAAGGGGGAACGCTTTTACGCACCCTAATCAAGAAGAAGGAGGCTGTTTCAAATCCTGATTTTAGGCTCCTTCCGACATCCGAGAGTTTAGACATTCTGTATTATATCACGCACTAAACTCTTAACCATGCGCTTTTAGCGCAATGTTAGCATATGATCGTGTCATTATGATAAACCCTACTGTTCTTTTAGCCGCTTCATCGGCGAAAGCAATATATACGGATCGATATATATCGAACACATACGTGTTAAGTGACTGAAGAAAGAGCAGTTGGGCCGTCAAAGATACAACGTAGGACCTAGATCCCGGCCTCATCGATCTAGCACCAGTATCTTTAACATCAGATCACATTAGAGTCAAGCAAAATTAACAACAGCACCCTATCAATCCGAAAATTGCGATACGACTAATTATTTTTCTCTATAGCAGACGTCTTCACAAGTTCTCCAGTGGCCAGAAATACTAATTTCCTAGGCATGATGAAGGCTCTAGTGGATTTTTAGTATTTCAAAAATGGCGGGTTAGATCTGAATTAGCAGAAAGTAAGAATGTAATTTTTTGAAACTATCAAAGGTTTTCTTTTGGTCAGTTCGCAGCCGGGAGTGCCTCATAGACGAGATTTTTAGGATACTGCTACAGGGACCATGAGGTACGCAGGCTTGGCCTCGTATCTACACGTTCTTGACCGAAGTCCTTCCGGCATTGTTGGTGTACTCGTAACCTTTCTTCTTTCTTAAAATCACATCTTTTCTTTCCCGCTCAGATCTCTCAACGACCCGACGCTCCCATCTACTTAGTCATTCTTCGTGTACGAGTTCACGTCCTCTGTATTATTTTTGCCTGCATCCGTGGATTTTAGGTTGCTATCTTGCGTTCATTTTTTTCGCCGTTATCTTACTTTAGGAGGACTATCTACTAGCTCTGAAGTAACCATAAATCTGGGTTAGCGAAACCGATTGCGTGGCTGACATCTCAAATGTAGACGAAATATAGAAAATTATTCTTATCTGAAGTGTGTTCACCTGTTTGTACCTTTTTTCAGTACCAGTAACTAGCCATAAAGCAAATAGTGCGTACTGAGGTGCAAATTGTCTCCCTCCAATACACGTCAATACAATTCAGTGACCCTAGCCAAATACACTTTTTTCTGTAAAAATCCAAACGATTCGGGTTTGTTCTCAAAAAAAGATAAAAAAAAAAACCTGTATGTATCGGTGTACAATGCGTGCATTTGAAACAAATCTAGACGAAACATAAAACGAATACAAGAATTCCCGTCAGTACCCCCACTGTACATAAAAGTGCGCAATCAGTTAAGTCCACTGGTTTATGTTAGCAGCGTCCCTTTGCAAGTGAACCCAAATTTGACCACACTGGCTGTTATTGAACCGTAATAACACCCATTTTAGTAAAAATAGGAGTAATAATCTATAATGTTTTGCATCTAACGGTACTGTTAAAAATTTCGGTGTGCATATATTTACGAACAGTATTAAATGGTCTTTAAGTTACGGCCTTTCAGAGAATAACGTAGATCGTTACATTAACGTACCCAGCTTTTATAGGGCGTAATATGTTCTTTTGAAAAGGAAAACAACAGAAACAATGTCGTAGTATTTGGTCCTTATCATATTTCAGTGTATGAAACGTATGTAATATTTTTCGTTGTTACGTCTCGCTATTAATTGTCTCCGAGACTAGCATATACAGAAAAATTTTACTGATTATGCAGACTGATAGACTTAAATCTATGTTCGATAGGATGCTGCCAAACATAGCGTAGGGAACGCTGACATAAATATAGAGCTGCTTCAAAATTTACCTTCAACTGCTTATATTGTTATGATTGCTTACGGCAAACGGACTACTTGCATTCGGTCAACACTTTATTTGCCTTTTAGTTTATTTTATATGGGACTCTTGTTAGTCTGTTAGAGATAACATTTAATCACAACCCATAGTCGAAAGGTAACGATGGTTTTTGTTGGCATAGATTTGGGACTGACCGTAAATCTGGCTGTCGGAGGCGATGAAGATAGGGGGCTGAGGCAGGACAATGGCCGTTGACATCTTCTCAGGTCGCGCCTTGCCTATGTTCTTCTTAACGCCAGAAGTTTCACTGCATCGAAAGATGCAGGAAGCCAATGTTGGCCGTATCGGCGGTCAAACCAC